AGAATAAAAACCTGGAACTGATTATAATGATTTACTATGATCAGTTACAGGTTTTCATTCTCACGCACTCATATATGCATTATTTTAAAAGCGTATTAAACTCAATAACGCGTATATTTGATCAAATTTTAATGAAATCATCAATCGTAACTTGTCATCACACTACATACGCATGTGTCGAAATAACATGCTATTCGCGTAATTTGCGATCTTTTTATAATAAATCAGTGATTTTATCTGAATTTGGTCCAAGATACTTTTTCTAAATGAAAAATATATTAATGATCAAAAAATTTTTAAATAAATATTACGAATTCTGTGAAAGAAGTTTTACTGAATTTAGATAAATTATTGTTGAAAAAAAAAATATTGTTTCAAAGTTTAGAAAGATCTAATCGAAAGATTTAATCGCAATATTATAAAAGAAACTGCGGTTAAATTGTATTGTCGAGGAACCTTTGTCAAAATTAAACCACTGATTACTGATTAGAATGCTACTGCGACAATTATAACAAAACCAAATTCGGTGGATTGTTTTTTAAATGAATTCTATAAATAAACTTCTAGAATTCATTCTCTAACATAATCGCTCAAATCATTTACTTAAACTTCAAGTGACTTTATTATATTAAATTAAATTATGTACCGGTATCAGCAAATAATTTAAACACTGTACATAAATGATCTTAGTAGTCATGTTAGGTTCGTCTCATTCATTCATAGGATTTAAGTCTCCTATGGAAAAAGCGGATTTTTCACGAACAAAGGCTTTTCAATCAATCGTTTCTTTAGATGAATTACATAATAGAATTGCATAATTCGTCTAAAAAAATAAAATAAAACATTGATCTTCAAAGTTAGGATTCTTTTATTTATCGAATTAATAAAGCCATTTAAAAAAAAAACAAACCGTTGTCATTATCGCGAATACATGTAATACATGTTAATGGTTAAATCACAGATCTACAGATCTACAGATCTACCCGATATAAAATCCGCGTTTGTAAAATAAGAGGTACGCACGTCCTACATTCTTTTTCACGCGTTTCGTACTTTTTTTTTAAATCAACCATGGTAGATATCGAAAATGTTTTATGGACTTCAAAGTAATATGGAGAGCTAATGTTACTTGCTTTGTATTTCATAGGCACAACAAATGTTACAACAATGGAAGCAAATGCAACAACAACAAAAGCAAATGCGACTGCAAATGCAACAAGAGCAGCAACAACTGCAACAGCAAATAAAACAACTGGAACTGAAAGTGCAACAGCAAACGGAACGAAAGCAACAATTGCTAGCAAGAATTACAAACCTGCAAAAACTGTAAGTTGTCTGACTTATTTAATTCCCAACTTTATCGGCCAAAATTTTTGTTATTAGCATTATAATGCCCGCTTCGTATTACATATTGATAAAAATTAGATTTGCTCAAACTTGAACTGTTTCTGTAAATTAAGATATGACAATTGTTCGTTCTGTATATTTTTTATTGTTTAGAAACGCAAGGTCCCCCGCGAGAGTGTCCAAATTACGTAAAGCTTATCGAAACGACGTTGTAGATGGTAATAGATTGAGAAAATCTTCCTCCAAGCAACCTTCAGATCTTCGTGAGATTAATGGTTGGTATACTTTGTAATTATTTCAATTACTATGTCATTTTTTTAATTTCAAAACTGTTTATCGAGCTTTTATATAAAAGATACTCAAAATTGATCAATTATTGCGAGCTTATGGACGGAAATGTTGATGATAGACGTAATCACCTTGCAAGATATATTGCTGTACTGTTGTATGAAATTTTAAGCTATCCAAGGTGTTAACCAATTTAATCTTGAAATGATTTGAATAAAATTTATCTTTTCTATACTTGCATGTATAGTCTGAAAATTCTTTATCAGTTATGTTATTAATGAAAATGCCTATCGCTATCTAATCAAAATTTTAAAATAAAGCAATTCGATTAGGTCCACACACGTGAAAAATAAACATTATGCCTACTACTACATAAATTAACGTTATTATTAAATCAAATTCAGTTATTTTGAACCTGTTTATTGTAAAATTATTATACCCTAAAATTAAGATTGCATCAAGTGTTTTAATCGACGAAAATATTTCGGTATTACAGTATTAAATTAAATTGTAAAATATTTTCGGCAACTTCACATCAAAAAATCAATGTCGAATACTTTCAAAAGTGCTGAACCAGTTTCTTCACCTTATATGTTTATATTTACCTTTTGCGGCACCCATATGTATCAAACCGATAATCATTAGGCTCGATCTGGCTTACGTATTTAACTAATATAAAACCATTAAAATCAATTAATGAAGAGAACCGAACGATCCTAATAAATAGTCGAGAAATATACATATTTGTTAAAGTCGATTATTACTTCTGCAAACCGTGACTTTTCATAAGATTATATCATTATACCAAAGGTAATATAATCTCTAGGTAAATATACCTTAGATGATATCCACTCTAAATGTATTAATGTGTTGACAACGATAAAAAGGCAAATAAATTTAAACCCTGAATAAAAAAAACTTATCGAAGAATCTGCATCGGTTAAATTCTGATTCGATAAACATTTAGTTTCTGCATACATAATCGTGTACGTACATGTACTGTGCTGCCTTTGGATATTTCTTGTTTTATATTTCAACAAAATTTTTATTTATTTCACTAAAAATGCCTGCAAGATTAAGGCAATTTATTTATCTGCTGCAGAAGAGATTCATGGTATTATCGTTTCCAGAAGTTTACTCAATGCTGTGCAAGTTTTATTAAAGTCTCAAAAAAAATTATGTTTTTTATATTAATTTTTATTTACATCTCGCACTGTATAAAAATGGTTAATCAAGATATAATTTTATGAAATTTAAAAAAAATCTTATATTTGGATTAAAAATACTATTTTGATTTATCATTCTTTTATTACATTTAAGCTCTTTGATTGGTTCACGAATAGCTCTATACTCATTATATCATCATGAAAACAAAGTGAGATTTTACATTTAAGCTCTTTGATTGGTTCACGAATAGCTCTATATCGAATTCTCTCATTATATCATCCTGAAACCAAGTGAGATTTTACATTTAATGCTTCATTTTTAGTTTTTCAGTATATCCAACCATTGTTACTAAGAAACCAATACATTCCTTCGACTGTCTGGATATATATTTCACAATGCATTCTAGTTCATTGATTTCGAGTATTTCTTTTTGAATCTACCATATTGCGGCTGTTAGAAATTTTTATCTGTTTTAATATTTCTGGATTTTCGAATTCGAAACCAATATATTAAATCTGTTTATTGAATTCTTGAATCTTTTTAGCTTTTCGCTAAAAAAATAAAAATAAAAAAATAAGTACAAACGAAACCTTTAACATGCAATATGTAATAAATATTCACCTTTTAAATTTTTGTTCATCACTTGACGCTATTTTTTTTTATTAAAATAACCGGAGAACGGAAAAGGTAAATAACCTATGGTTTTTTGGCTAGATAAAATTTTTGTCTTGAGGTTCTAGCTATGTCTCTTTAAATATCGACTATTCAAGTAAATAACAAACCTGTACTATATTGTAATACGCTCTTTTGACTTGATCAACTAAAATAGTTTGAAGTTTCTGCAAATAAAAAGATTGTATAATGAGTTATAACCTTATTATTAAATAAATTTATAACAGGATAATCAGAACGTGCATAATGAAAATTTACTAGTAGAGTAGAATCGCCACCAAAAAAATTTCAAAGTAAAATTTCGTGTTGTTAGGTTATGGTCAGGGCTTTGCCTCGAAGATAGAATTTTAAGGTTTCATAAACTAAAATTTGAGTTATAAGCGATTGTTGATAAAACGAACGTTTGTTTTGAATTTTTCTGATTGTGTTGCGTTATACCTGATCTTGAAATTTGATTGGTCGTGAAATTTTTTAGGGTGGTGATTTTACTCCAGTTGTAAAATTGGGGAAATTCCTGGTGAATGATGGTAAAACTGGTGAAACTGGTGAAATTTGTTCCTATCTATACGTATATCTTTTTTTTGGGTTTAAAAAAATTTTTTTTTAATATTTCTTATATCTTATAGGAGTGCCGTTTATTACATTTTTTAGGGGAGGGGAGGAGGGTCAGTAATTTATTACGCCTATATATTGAATATAAACCTTATGATTAGCTACTGACTTTATCACCTAGGGGGAGGGGTGTGGCCTTCTAAGAAAAAGAAGTTACATAATAAATATCACACCCTCAACTACTTCTTTAATACATTGTCAAAAAAAATCACCGAGTATACCGAGCAAAAGAAAAAAAAGACAAAAAACAACGAAAAATCCTCGCGATTAATAAAAGAACATTACGAAATACGCTGCTTTTAATTAAAAATAGCATGAAAGTATAAATAGAACCGGGAATAAATCGATTTATATCCGGTCAGTCGAACAAATTAAAGATTTAGATGTGTCTTTTATAAATATCTTAGCATAGGGCAAATTCTATTGAAAAATTAGTGCTATCCGATTTTTTATATTTCTTTCAATAGAAGTTTTAATCCAAATTTTTTTTATAAAATGATGTCTTGACGAAATACAAAATATATAATCAAAAGTTACAGAATTTTTTTTAATTTAATAAATTTTGATGTTAATTACAGAATTTTTTTTAATTTAATAAATTTTGATGTTAATTCTTAAAAATTATTAATAAAATAAAATTTTGGTCATATACAGGGTTGATAAATTACTGGGTGTATAGTGAAAATCAACAAATTTTTTTATCGTTATAATTAGCGGCAGCGTAAATAGTAAAGCTTCAATCCTATTTTTTAGATTTTCTTCAGCATATTCAGATGATAATTCGAATCTGAATAATCTGAATTAAAATTAGTAATCCGAATTGACCTTGACCCAATGTTCCGTTTCACCTAAAAAAAACAAAAGATTTAAGATGTAGATAGGATACCCGTTTTCTCAATTTAAATCTAACGATTTATTATCCGGAACAGAGCAAAGGATGGAAAGAAAAAAAATTCTAATTGGGTTTCAAGAGGAGCAGGATGAGACAAATATATGTAAGCAATTCCAAATTACTACTATCACTCGATCAGAATAAAACGTGAAGCAGTACTTCGTAGTCCAATAAATCCCGTTTTTAATTAACGCGATCTAATTTTGGTGAAACCCGATTTTGCCATTTTTGTATTTTTAGCTAAAAAAAGGATATTTACATCACAAAAATTGTATAGTCTATGGTCTTTAGGGTTGTATTACTTGAAATTACATTGTGTAATTTACTAGAGATTGGAATCGATGAGTTTCGAGCGTTGATTGATCACAAACTCTAGATTTTCGAACATCGGTAAAAAATTTTGACCGATGATCGAATTTTCATTGAGGTTTTAAAAAATACATATAAGAATTTAGTATAAAATGAAATTTATCAATTGTACCATTATCTCTACATAACTTAATTACCATTTACATGTCTTATAATTTGCGACATTACAAAACAACTTGTACTATTATCGCTACATACAATTTACATTATTTAATATGCATTTTTATATGGCTTGTAATTTGCGATTTATATTATAAAAACAATCATGCATTAATCCTAGACATCAGGAATAGTAAAATAAATTGTTTTCATATTATACTTTAGAAATATCATTCTGCCAAATAACTTTAGCTTTAATAACGTTCATAACATTTCCTGCATCTGAAAATAAGCGCTCACTTGGTGTGCTTGTTGCAGGAATTGCAAGAAATTTTCGGACCATTTTACTTAAAATCGGAAATTGCCGTTTTTGTAAAGACTACCACACCATGGGAACTCCCTCAGGGAGCAAGATAATTTGTAACTTCGTTATCATGGTTTTGTAAGCTTGATAAAAAAAAACAGATTT